CTCCCTCCGCTTGGTGGGGCCGTGTCCCGGGAGGACGCCTGCCAAGGCCTACCTGCGGTCCGCCGCGTCCTCCTTCCCGGGACCGTGCACCCCCGGGACCATGACGTGAGTTTACCTGGTGGGCTCCAGCGCCTCGTACATCAAGAAACTTTGTTCTCGGGGCGGTGGCCTTTGGGTCCACGTCCGTGGAGCCACTACCTGCTTTGAGGTCGATGGAAGCGAGAGATGGAGTTCTTTCGCCGAGGAGCTGCGTCCTCGTTTCTGGTCCAGCGGCTGGAGCTAGGCTCGGGTTAGGTCGAGAGGGCAGCTTGTGGGGGCACCTGGTTCCCATTGCTTCCTCCCAGCAGTGGGTTGATGCCAGCGTCTCAGTCCTGGAAACCCCGCGGCTGGAGAGCAGTAGCCGTGTCGCTCATGGTCACTCGGTGACAATGAGAAGGACTCAGCCCAGGGACTGGACCCGAGGAGGTGCTAGGAGGCCGCCCAACATCGCGCGGGCCTGTCCTGGGGCCGAGACGGACGCGCCCGCGCCCCGCAGGTGTGTCGCAGTCCAGGGAGCCCGGACTGTGCCAGGTACTCAGGACTGCTCCTTGTGTGTGATGATTAAATGCCTTTAGAACTCCCCTTGGAGCTTGTGTTTCTATAAAAAGCCTGTGGTGCGGGTTCAGAATCATTCATGGCAGCTAGAAGATCCCAGAGAATTTTTAAATCTCTGTTTCTGGTGTACCCATCTGAACTGCAGCAAGAAATTAAAATCCCCAAACTCAGGGCTGGTTTATCTAATAGGAAGAGGAGAGGCAATGCTGGGGGCCCACAGTGCTTTTAGGAGTCCGTGAAAATGTTTGATTTCTTCTCAAATCAGCAGGAAAATCGAACTTTTAGATAAAAGAGAATGTAATGTACACATTATAGGCATTCATTTTTTATAACAACGCAGTTGCAAAGTATGATTTCCTTTTAACTATAAAATTGTGTGTGTTTTTAAAAAATGTTTAACCCTCACCCGAGGATAAGTTTTTATTGACTTTAGAGAGAGAGTAACTTTGATCGGTTGCCTCCCATCCTCACCCCTACTGGGGATTGAACCTGCAATCTAGGTATGATCTGTGACCAGAAATCAAACCTGCAACCTTTTGGTGTATGGGAGGATGTTCCAACCAACTGAGCCACCCATCTGGGGCGAAAAGTATGATTCTTAACTTTTTTTTTGTTAATCCTCATCCTAGGATATTTTTTCCATTGATTTGAGAGAGAGAAAAACAGAAACATCAGTGTGAGAGAGACACACGCCAACTGGGGCCAGGTAGCCAGGAGTGGGAAGCGGAGGTCGGTGAAGGTGGAAGTGCTCAGGGCTGTCTTCTGTGAGCACTGTCAGGCCTCAGTGGGTAAAGGCAGGCTGGGAAGCACAGTGGTATGCGGCTGATCCTCCACGGTGCCCTAGCTAGGCTCCCACCCTAGACACACTGAACCTCTTGACTATCTCGTGGCCAAGACCCTAGGCCCATGCTCAGCCTGGAGTCTCTCCAGTGATACTTCTCTGGGCTCCCTGAGTAGAGCTGGTTGCTCACTGCTTTTGCTGTTCTGTGGGCAGCAGGATGACTGGTTCTGGGATAGCCTTGGTAGGAAAGGAAGCCAGGAAAAGGGTCACCTATCTAGGAGGGTACTGTATGGGCTCTTGGGGAGCAGAGCCAATGGATTGTGGGTTGTTGTGATTAGGTGCTTTAGAAAGCAAGTCTAGCCCTAGCTGGTTTGGCTCAGTGGATAGAGCATCGGCCTGTGGACTGAAAGGTTCCGGGTTTGATTCCGGTCAAGGGCACATTCCCTGGTTGTGGGCTCGATCCCTAGTAGGGGGTGTGCAGGAGGCAGCCAATCAGTGATTCTTATCATTGATGTTTCTTTCCTACTCTCCCTTCCTCTCTGAAACCAATAAAAATATATATTAAAACAACAACAAAAACACAAGTCTACACCTGTAGAAAGATGAGACATCATCCTGTTCTGGCTTGTGGGTCCCAGTTTTGCACATTAGGTCACTGGACTGAGTGAAGCCATGTGTACCATGCATGCTATCTTCTTGGGGTACCTCTGGTTCCAGGTCCAGCATCTCCTACCTGGATGATAGAGGTGACCAATGTCCCCAACTCCTTTTCTGTCTGTTCACATATCCTGCCAACTGGCCAGCAGTAATTCAACAAGCGTCTGAGTGCTTGATACCTGCCCATCTCGTAGGGATGCTCAAATGGAGAGAATAAACCCCTTCCTCTGGGAGTGCCCTTTAGGTGTGGAAAGAGAGTCAAGGTGTAAATCGGTCCACTAAGTGTGTTGGCCTAGGCAGGTGTGAGAGATGGCCAACCATTTGTACTTGTGAAGCAGGGGCGGGGTTCACAGAAGACATCACACTTAGGTCTGAGTTGGGGCAGGAAGGCACCTGTGGCAGAGGGAGCAAAGTGACCTTCATCACTCCATGACACTCCATATAGAACTTTGCAGCGGCCCCCAGTGGTATCTTGACTTGCCTTACAATTGGGGGACTCCAACTGGCTCCCTGATGTTGTTTGGGCAGCAAGGGCAAGTCTCACTCTGGGTCAGATGTTCTTGTGTGCTGTGTGTGCTGTGTCTCCTTCCCAGCAGAGGTTTGCTGGCTGGCATTTTCGAGGGGGTGCTTTTTTGGTCGTAGCCTGCATTCCTTCTATTGAAATCCTGACTTAGATCCATACTCGGGTGTGAGGAGGGCACCTGTCAGAACCTGTTTCCCAGATGGGAGGGAGGCAGGCAAGTAGGCAGGAGGGTGTCTTCTGATTTCTACCAGGGGGAACCCTTGAGGATGGGGACCAAGCCATTTTTGGCTCCTCTCTGATGCAGGCCAGGGCATGAGGCCTTTCACAGAGTGGGGCAATGGGCAACACAAGAGTGCTGAACTTGACCTTTCGCCAAAGTTTATTTTAAATGCATGTCTGATGCGGCTTGATCGAGGATGTGTTACATGCCAGGAGCTTTTGTAGTAAGAACACGTGTTAAGTTAACTCTCAGGTGGTCCCTGTGAGGTAGACATTGTTATTAGCTCCATTTACAGATAGGGAAATTGGAATACAAAGAGCTCATCAAGCTAAGTGGCTGAGATGAGATTCAGTCCTAGAAGTCTGGCCTGGTTCCATTGTGCACCTTTCCCGGGGGCTTATGTATGTCCTATCTTTAACCCCTGCTGTGGAGCCCTAGGCCGCTTTTCTTCTGATGGACCCAGTGGCTCACCAGGATTCTGAAGCCCTTTCCATCTGAATACCCTGGTTTGAGGGATAGAACCAGCCCTCGCCCCAAATTCCTTCTGTGGTTAACCATAATGACCAATGAAGATGTGCATTGTCTCCCCGAGATGTTAGAAAGGTTGTGGATCTCTGCTGAGGGGTGACAAACATACAGGGGCATTTACGGCCACTGACTGCAGTATCATCTCCCTGACCCTTTATCTGTACAGGGAATGCAACATCAGTTGCTGATTTCTAATACTGTTTTTTTCTAAGCATTAATTATGAAAGAAAATCATGCCATGGGTTTAACCATAGCTCCGTCCATGGTGACTCCACCATACTTAGCTGAGAAAACATTTAACCTTTCCTGAGTGAGCATGGTCTTGGCTGAGTTCCCCGGCCTATAGGTGATGTAGCAGGACTGGAGCTGTGTTCCTTGGGATGAACAAAGCTGGCTGGGAGAGGCAAGTGACTTGTATAAAGTCACATAGCTGGAGAGCAGAGTAGCTGGGATTCAGACCACTAAGAGCTGGCTCCTAGGTCAGGGTTCTTTCCCCATGGCCATGAGGGACCTGCTGGGTATGCTGAACTGATAAAGCCTCAGTGAGCCGAGAAGTGGCCACAGCACTGGAGCAGCATATGGGTTAACGAATAGGAAGTGTGTGGATGTTTTATAAGCAGAACTGGCTGAAGCTTATAGAAGTAGCAGGGAAGTTGAGCCTGCACTTAGGCTGGCCAGGTGACTTCTGAGTTTGGAGTTCTTTCCTCCACAGCCTACCACCTTGTAACTCTATAGAACTTGCCCTACTAGCAGACTGGGCTTTGGATTTTATAATTTCATTCTTTTTGGATGATACTTTTCCAACCTCACTAGCTAATGAATTGTTTTGTTGTTGCTTTTAAAGTAAACATTTGGTAGGAAATGTTTATATAAACTAGGAGTTCTCAGTTGGTGGTTGGCATGTGGGGGGCAGCTGATCGGTGATTCTCATCATTGATGTTTCTGTCTCTCTCTTACCCTCTCCCTTCCTCTCTGAAATCAATAAAAATACATAAAGAAATATATTCCTAAAAAAATAATTTCAAACTTACAGAAAAGTTGCAAGAATACAGTTAGTGCAAGAACACTTGCATATCCTGTACTAGATGTACCTATTGTTAGCATTTTATTTTATTTGCCGTATCTCCCCTGTGTGTTTATACTCATGCATAGAAATGTATGCATGGACATAATTATTTTTAACAATTTTTTTTCTGAACCATTTGACAGTAAGTTGCGTATGACATGGCCCTTTCCCCTGAACACTTTGATCACTTCAGAGAGCAGGAGGAGGCGCCTGGTACTTAGCTTCCCTGAAAGATGAAAGGTGATGCTTCCCATCCCATTGCTTGCATTCACCCTGTAACAAGCCCTCACTGCCACCTGCTGTGTGCCAGGCACTGTGTCACCACAGATGGTGTTGCGGGCACAGGATGTGCTGTGGTTAAAGCTCCGGTTTGCCCAGGTGGCAGCTAGCAAGGTTAATATTTCAGTTAGTGGTTCTAGTCTTAGGAATGAATAATGTGCTTTTGTTGCACACTTTGGCCAATGGGTATGTACATTCTCGCTCTTGTTAGGCTGTTTTTTTTTCCTGTTCCTCTTCCTGTCCAGATTGCTCTTGCCTGCAGCCCTCTGGTCCTGCTTCCCAGACCTAGCTCCTTGGCACTGTCTTCCCCCTGCCCTCTGGCAGTTCTGCAGCACTTAACGCATACATCATGGGAGGTGGCCTAGTTGTGGGCCCTCCCTGTACCCATGATATCTTACCTCTGTTCCTCTTCCTCTCCTTGGCATAGGGAAATGCGTAGTAGATTCTTGGCCCTAAGTGGAATGTGTCAGTGACAACATTTAGAACCTAATAGATAGCAACAGACTGATTAAATGTCTTTTCCTTGGTGTGCTGCTATATTGTTCCCTTGTCACATGTGCTTTTGTGTTTGGGTTGCTGAAGAGTTGGCAATAGTCCTTTCTCCTTCCTGTATGCTGAGCAGGTCAGTAGTACCAAGAGGCCAATTTTGGGCCAACATTTTGCCAGAGGAAAGGGTGGGATCACAGTGTGGTTTTTATGTAACAAATTTATTTCTGTGTGATTTACCAACTGACTTGGGATGTTTAGTAAAAGACAGTCCTGCCACTCCAATATGGGCCACAGTCTGGCCAGGGCAAGTCCAGGGGAGAGTGAATGGTATGTGGGCAGTGGGCAGAGTGCAGCTGGCTGGGGACCTGGGCTTATGGGCCATCACCTGGGAGGAAGGAAAGTGTGCCGAGCCAGCTCAGCCAAGGGTTCGAAA